ATTTTAATTTAGACATTATCTCCACAACTCCAAGTATAATAAAAGATGTTTAATTTACTTAAACAGATAAATGCAGTGTACCTGAGTAAGTTAAGTGTGTGTGAGACAGAGGATGAATATCTGTGTAAATAAAAGAAGAAATTGTGAAGACCAAATATTAAAAATGTAGACTCCTGAGCTGGAGGTTCATTAGCAATTACCAGACAGCAATATCAAAGTAAAACAACAGAACCCAGTATTTCTATGTCAAAAAATTTCATTTTCTGGAAAGATCAGAGAATAGAAAATGTATTTGGGCCCAATCATCTTCCATCCACCCACTTTTCCCTATTTTCCTCTAGGAAATTAGGTGCTCTAATGTGCTATTAGCTCTGGTGGTGTAGTGGGTGAGCCATCTGGCTGCTAAACAGAAGGTCAGTGTTTCAAATCCACCAGCTGCCCTGTGGAAGGAAAATGGCGAAATCTATTTCTATAACAATTTACAGCCTCGGAAACCCAATGGGGGTCGCTGTGAGTCAGAATTGACTCGATGGCAGTGGGTTTTGGTTTGGAGTCTGCTATTTGGGGAGGTGGAAACATTTGAGAAATAAATGATTTACTGGCTTCATCCCCCCCTTAATGTGATCCTCAGGAGCTGTGGTACCTTTCAAAGCTATCTTTGTTTGGGAAACTGTTTGAAGTCCACAGAGCATTTTGCATTGAATATTAACTAGGTTCAGCCTATATGTCAAACCTTAGGCAATATCATATTAAAAAAAATGTATTTTAGAAAGAATACACTCCTTCTCTCTCTGCATGTATGTGAAGAAAAAAGCAGCAGGTATATGAGGAAGAGGGGGGAAGTGGGAGGAATGGGAGAGAGGGGAGAAAAGTAAAACCCCAACTCACTTCAACTTCATTAGGCCTTTGCTTTAGCAGGTATGCTTTGGTGATGCCTAAGAAGGAAGGAAATACTTGGTCACTATATCAAAAAGAATTGTTTGAGGGTCAGCCATTTCAGGAGGACGCATAGTATTGAACTGATAGTATTGAAGGAAGTTCAAGCTGCACAGAAGATATTGGCAAAAAATAAAGTTTCAGAAATTGATGAAATACCAATTGATATGTTTCAACAAAGGGATGCCAACACTGGACGTGCTCACTCGCCTGTTTCAAGATATTTGGAAGACAACTACCTGGCCAGCTGACTGGAAGAGATCCATATTTGTGCCCATTTGAAAGAGAGGTGATCCAACATAATATGGAAATTATCAAACAGTATCATTAATATTATACTCAAGTAAAATTTTGCTGAGGATAATTCAAAATTGGTTGTAGCAGTACATCAACGTGGAGCTGTCAGAAATTCAAGGCAGATTCAGGAGAGGATGTAGAATGAAGGATATCAGTGCTGTTGTCAGATAGATCTTGGCTGAAAGCAGAGAACACCAGAAAGATGGTTACCTGTGTTTCATTGACTATGTGAAGGCATTTGACTGTGTAGATCATCACCAGTGATGGATATCATTGCAAAGAATGAAAATTCCGGACTACTTAACTGTGCTCATGCAAAACTGTACATAGATCGAGAGGCAGTCATTATAACAGAACAAGGGGGTATTGGGTGGTTTAAAATCAGGAAAGGGGTACTTCAGGGTTGTATGCATTCACCATACTTATTCAGTCTATATGCTGAGCAAATAATCTGAGAAACTGGGCTACATGAAGAAGAAAGTGGCAACAGGATTGGAGGAAGACTCATTAACAAGTTGCGATATGCAGATGATACAACCTTGCTTACTGAAAGTGCAGAAGGCTTCAAGCACTTACTGATGAAGAGCAAAGACTATACAACCTTCAGTGTGGATTACACTTCAACACAAGGAAAACAAAAATTCTCACAACTGGACCAATAAACAGCATCATGATAAACTGAGAAAAATTTGAAGTTGTCAACAATTTCATTTTACTTGGACCCACAATCAATGCCTGTGGAAGCAGCAGCCAAGAAATCAAATGATGTATTGCACTGGGCAAATCTGCTGCAAAAGATCTCTTTAATGTGTTAAAGAAAAAAAACAATGAAGATATCACTTTGAGCTACCAGAGTTCCTCCTCACATCTTAGGGCAAACTGAAACATGTCGGCCAGCAGGGGTCAGGCTTTTCAAGTCTATGGATTTGGATTTCATGTCTCTGTTATAGGAGCTCTGGTGGCATAGTGCCTAAGGCATTTGACTGCTAACCAGAAGGCTGGAAGTTCAAACCACCAGCCACTCCTAGAAGGAAGATTGAGCAATCTACTTCCGTAGTGATACTACCTTGGAAACCCAGGGAGGGGTTGTTGTGAGTAGGATCCAACTCAACTCTGTTAGAGCAGCTTTTAAGAACTTACAGGAGCTCTGGTGGAGTAGTGCCTAAGGCATTTGACTGCTAACCAGAAGGCTGGTGGTTCAGACCCATGAGCCACTCCTCAGAAGGAAGACTGGGCATACTGCCTCAGGAACCCAAGGAGGGGTCGCTATGAGTCAGAATCGACTCAACGGTAGTGAGTTCGGTTTTTCTGATTTTAAGAACCTACAAATTTCTTTGTAGTACCATTAGCATCATACTCTCCAGAAATCAGTCTTGCTGGCTATATTGAGCCCGAATAAATGAGTGAGAACCTGTGAAGCTCTGGGGAAGCTTTCTCAGCCAAAATTATTTTTCTAAAGCTATTTAGTCAGGAGTCTTCAGAAAGACAGAATCAATAGATTTTACACAATTATATATAGCATCTCAAAGGAATTTGTGGGGATGCCAAGTGCAAAATTTGTAGGTCTGGGAATAGGCTTGAAACTGACAGTCTTAAATCTGAAATTTGTATTTCAGAGAGTGGGCTGGAAACTGGCAGGATGTCTGGCAGAATCTTCCTCTTGAAAACCTCTGCTTTTTTTTTTTTT